GGACACCGCTTTGTGTACGGAAGCTTTTGGAGAGCTCTCCGTACACTCTCACGTCCGGAAGTCTGAGAATACAAAGAACGTATTATGTTTACAAACTTCCGGGGCATTCCTTGGTGGGCAAGCGTCTCAAGAAGAACAGACCGATCAACCGAGTCTAATGCGCCTTGGAAATCCAGGAATACTAGAATCGTGGGTTGCTTATACGTATGGCATTGTTCTAGCACCTGACGCAGTGTAAAGATTTGGTCAACACAAACCCCACCAGGCCGAAATCCCGCTTGCTGCTCTCGGGTCGGTGTCTCACGAGCCACCGTAAGGCGACGGAGCACAATTGACGCCAACAGTCTCGTTACAACCAGGATCGAGCTGATCCCCTTGTGGTTACCACACTCACTACGCGCCCGTTTTTTGAAAACGGGCACTATCACCGATTCTCCCCTTTTCCCAAATGCACGCAAACAGATGGGACATGCGGTGATAGAGGACTTCACCGCCGTCTTTGAACAGTGCGGGTGGACGGTCATCCGGGCCGGCAGCTCGGACAACTTGTGTACAATCCAGCAACGAGTATTGCCGGACTAGTCACTAGGGTCTTTGCCTCTTTTTGAACAGAGATGAATACAGACTTTCGGTCCGGGTATCTCCTCACGTTTCAGCTGTAATGTATCATACCTTATTTCTTCAACAGGGACTATCACTATTACCACAACCTTTCGATTTTTTCAATTTTTGTGACCTAATATGAGGAGCCCACTGAATAAAAATGCCACCTTACGTTAGTTTACGTGCACTATGATTGTTTTTAAGTGTTTGTTTAGGTTGCACTCTGTTAGCCCAAGACGTAACGGTTTTATTGTGCAATCTCCGGTAACTCACACGGCTTCTGTATGCACGCGCTGCGAGTATTATCAACAAACCACTGGTACCTAAAGCGCCATCTAGCGACTATGTATAGCTGTACGGTCGCAAATGAGGTCAAACTTGTATGAGACGAACCAGCGAGAGATTGTTTACGAGGGTGTGGTGATAGCATAGAGGCAATAGAGGTTTGCATTCCATCGACCTGCATGCTCTGTGGGGCACCATTATTGTCTGACTCCAGTTTGGGACGGTCTTGTTCTCCAAAGTAGAATTCAGAAAGGCGGTGACTTAAGTGGAAATTCGTCAGGACGCACAGCACGACGGTTGATAATGGATGTACACTCGGTCATCTCTGGAGCTGAGGGCCCAATATTTACAATGCACCCTTCCGTTAAAGACGGGAGGTCCTGTTTGGAGGTAGCAGTTGTTGAAATGGATTGTTCGAAATATTCCACCGAAGACTGTGCTGAATACCACGGAGCCACTTTGTCCTCGACGTTTTCACTGACAACAGGCTTCGGCAGATTACTCGACCGAGTCAAATAGAATAAACTGCGGGAATTCCCAGCGTCTTTCTATTCTTTCACTCCGGGGTAGCTCACTGGTTAGATCGTGGACTTACGGACCGAATGGTCCATGTTTCAAACACAATCGTGTCATCTCGACTGATCCTGTCTAGGTTTGGGCAACCTGGCAGTATCTCTGGTCTTGTGATTCTGCTGGGTTGTATGGCAGCTAAACAGCTGAACTACTTAATCTATCCGATCTTTTAGATCCACCAAGATTCGCGGTCCGTGGGGATACTGAAAAATCGTACAACTGTAGCATCTTTAGAGTGCCTAACTGCCATGCCGCCAGAAGGAAGCACGACGGCTGGGATACTGTCAGCTTGTCCAAGCCTGGACAAGGGGAGTCGAGAAGCAGAGATAGGGTTCGAGCAACGGACCTTCCGGTCAGTATTTTCGCGCTTTAACCGCTGAGCCATCCCACCCCCTGCAGATACTGAGTTTTACGGGGGATCGCTTGATGCGTCTGGCCGCACTGTGGTTGCCTTCAGAGGAAATTTGTCTCCAGGTCTTCACAGAAGCCACAGTTTCATTGGAGATCCAATGCTTGGAAGGGGCCGGATTGGCCGAACTGCAGGTATAACCGATGACGGTTAATATCTGATATGAGTCCAATAGATTTTCAGCCGCCACGCGCGGTGTGTGCAGACATTGAAAACGCAATGAAAAGTAGCAACAGACATTTGCATGACCAGAGCCCACGCAGGTATTCCAGGAGGAGCAGCAGGCAATGATCGATCGCCGCTATCAGTAACTAATGGCGCTGGTCTATTTGGATCCGGTACCGGTTCGTTAACGGGTATTACCGTGTCAGGCGATCTCTGCTGTTTTGGAAATCGGTGCCTCAAAGAAGCAGCTTGTGGTGGGCACACACCTGTAGCAGGCACCCTCCGTTATCCGTGCGAGATGGCTCAAGTGGTAAGAGCGCGAATTTACTGACCGGAAGGTCCGCGGTTTGAATCCGACCTTCGCCACTCGACTTCCCCTGTCTAGGCTTGGGCAACCTGGCAGTATCCCAGCCTTCGTGCTTCCTTCGGGTGGCATGGCAGCTAGGCACCGGAAGGGTGCTACAGCTGAACGCATATTACGTGTAACCATAGATGGCCACCCAACTGGGCCTCAGCAGCACTTCATTTACTTGGGCGTCCATGTCATCCGGAACCACAACGGTGTCTGAGCTTGTAGCCCGTCGCAAAAGGACATCTAGAGCGTCATAGAAACTATCCTTAACAGATTTGGAGCTACAATCCGTCTGGGAGTTAACAGACGCAATAAACGCGGGATTCCTTCACATCTGTTGCCAAACGAACTGCATGGAAGCGAATATCGACGTTTACCAATTCCGTTTAACACTCCTACTCGCTGGCTGAACGTAATACCCATTCCCGCAGGAGTCGCTTGTTTTCCTGTCTGCTTCAAAGTACGGAGACTAAATGCAGCTAAGCGGACTACTTTTTTGGGGTTGAAAGCTGAATTCGAGCTGTTTGGGGCTGTAGTGTAGACAGACGCGCAGAAGCTGGCTGCAGCTGAACATGATGTAAGGCGTACAAAGTGCCAGTCCTGGTGCTGCGACCTGTAGGGAAGATACTCACTTAGGGCAGGATAGCAGAAGAGAATCGTTCCGTGAAAGTGTTACAGGAGAGACTGCAGCGGTATTTCGCCTCACCCTCTGCTGTGTTCGGCATACACAGAAGCCCGGCTGGTTACACTACACGATGGCCGATGTGAGAGTACAATATTTTGGTTGTGAGGTTCATGGTTGTACGCAAATTGGAATACTAGTGGGGCGCCCACACCTAATCAGGAGAGCCATTAGGGCTGCTAACCAAAACCTTGGGCTCAAAAGCGTGACCACAAAGCAGCTGCAGCATACTGGGAGAGTATTACAAGTTTTTAAGGAAGAAGTCGCTGTGTATGTTCCAGTCCCCAACAAAAAGGACGGCGAGACTGTTAATCTAACCTCAATCCTTTAACCAATCTAGTGAAAAACTCTGTCGGTGTCAAAGTGAGACCATCTAATATACCTCATTGAGTTATAAAAGTACGCAAACGTCACACTGCAATCAAGTCCGGTTTTTGCAGCGACGGGTGATCAAGGTTGCGAAATACGGGAGAGACCGGCAGCATAGTTTTGTATCAAATCTCAATGTATGGTTTTGGAAATATTCTCCAAAATCTGTGTCCCCGTCAATTTTTAGTGGGACTGGTGGAGTGTTCTTCGGGCCTTTTTAGGATAATCAAATGAAAGCATACTTTAGCATACTTAGCTATACAGTCTGAAGGGAAGTTGTGCTGCGAAATATTGCCAGGTTGTCTAAACCCGGAAGAAGGCGGGCATTTAAGAAGGCGGCGATGGTTTCGCCTCACGGACATAACATGGTACCTCAAACAGCAGGTACTGTTCGCATGCCTTGTTTTTAGTGAACCACAGAAAGCAACTGGGACATAAAGTGTGCCATCACTGGCTGCAGAAGTCCGAGTAACTTGTAGTTGGTTCCGGGACTGTATTGTCCCAACTGTCTGTTAGTTTGTACCCTGGCCCTGGGGCATCTAGAGTACCAGTAACGTTATCTCCACGTGTAGCATAGTATAGACGATATGTTTTATCTCCCTCCTTACAAGTGATCTTGCATACTTCAGCAGCAGTTTTCCGATGGGAATCTTGCCCGATAGTGAGGCCTTATACATCTAAGAAAGTATTCAGAAAGCTACTCGAGATAAACCGGTGGAAGTCCATGGCAGCTCAGTGGATAAGGTGGTGACTAACTGGCCAGAAGGTCCGTGGTTCGAACCCAACTTAAGCGTGTTGAACGCTTCTGTCTGGGCTTGGGCAAACTGGCAGTATCTCAGCCCTCTTGCTTCCTTCGGGTGGCGTGGAAGCTAGGCAGTGAAAGGGTCACACAGCTGAACGATTGTTCTTCACTGTTCATCATCATTATCAGCTATAGGAACCACGTATTTGTTTCAGACCAAAGGTAGTTATCAGTTCCCGTAACTCCATCCTAACATGAAGAGTTGGTCTCCTTATTAAATGACGTAGATAACACGCTGACGCTGGATGTTTCCTGTTTTCTGGCTCTCTTGTTCTGACTGCTGACGTCAGCATATACGTGGGGTAACCGCGGATTATCAGTTGTTGAACAACCTGCAGCCCAATAGATTCCAACAGTTTGACGATCGGTACCGCTAGCATTCGCTACGCGGAGGCTACTAAATCTTCAAATAGAATTCGGTTGCTCCTTGTCCTCTGTCCTTAGTTACGTGCCTGATTTTTCTGAGAAGTCTGATAAACCCTCAACTTTAGCACCCTGCTTCGCATGCTGCTTCCACGCCTTGCTCACTAGCGTAGGCTGTACTTTTGTTGTCACGTATCTTGGGTTAGCATAAATTCTATGATGTTCTGGTGTAACGTGCTTCACAAAATAACCGTTGTGTTTTCCTCTCTTTCAGCGTCGTCTGCTCTGGCCGCAGTCTTCCCGTCATCCTTGACTACATCTTAATGAAATCCTAAACAATACTCCTTCCATTTTGAAACGACACTGGTTAAACAGTGCAATCTGACTCCCTACAACAATGTCGTCTGTCAACCAGATTGCGGTGGACCTCCATGGAAATGATGTGATTTACTCTTTCTTAAAACGGTGTCTAGAATGTGACGATCTTCCTGGGAAACTGAGGGACCTAGTTCAACCAATTGTCGACAGTAAATCGACTATCCCGTTCGTAACCCTATATGAATGTCACTCATGGTTGAAATGTCGACAAGAAAATCCTGGCCCTCTATGGAAGCTGTTTGCTTCAACCACTGTGGTCCTTCCTGCACCCAAAGAACCTGTTAGGAACGCGGATCTGGACAAGCGCGTTAAAGCACTGCGTGAGAAGTTTTCCAACCAAGCTTACGACAAAATGGTTGAGGGCATTGAGCCGAAACTCACTCTATTTGACAGCATGAAAGTTTCTGGAACAAATTCCTCACTTTGTTCGGAACTCAAATGTTTAAACAAGCAGATGGTTATGGTTCTGAACTTCATAATTGTTGTATCAGCAGGATTTGTTTTCGGTTATTTCATCCCTGATATGCTATCCTCCAACCCTGACATCAGCTTGGCAACGCGGCTAATGTGTGGCCTATCTGTTTCTCTCGTGATCTTTTTTGCTGATTTGTATTTTCTTATAAAAAACGTGTCAGAAGCTGAAAAAATCTACTAATCAACACTGTCTTGTTCCCTTCACAACTAGATTATTGCTCTGTCCATCCAACGAGCTGTCTTCAGCCCTCCAAGAAAGCGTTTTAGGCTTTGGTATTAAATCGCCATCAGAGATGTGCAGTTGAACACTGATATCATACTGTCGATGATGATGCTATCAGAGAATGACGGTATGTGCATCTGATCAGGACCGAACCACATACTCAACATCGTACATTCAACTTCTCATCCAGTTTTGTTCTTCTACCGGTTTCTCGCGTTTGTAACTGCAATTTATCGTATCTTTTTTGGGGTCAAACATCTAAGGCGAGTACATTACGTCCAAAAATGCACAGTAAATATCTCTAGGAGAAGCCTTGTCGCGGGGTACCAAAACATCTAATTGACTAGAGTTTCCTCACAAGGGAGCTGACTGACGGGAAACATCGCGCGCAGTCATCACGTATGCCATGAGGTCATGTATGGAAAAGCTTTTGTACGTGTTTGTGGTTTTCTTTGGCTGGTGACCGATATGTACTGCACCAACCTAGCGAGCTTGTGTAGTGGTCATCAGCCTCTCCTATCCCGGTCCGTAGGAACAAGCGGTCTCTGTGCCGCGCAGATGGGTCAATGAACATTTGACAGTCCTTCATCAGGATAATGCATTCTTACATAACAAAGACAACGAAGGTCACCATCATCATCGACAGCATGACATCAGTGTTCAACACCGATGCTTCACTGTCGTACAACCATGTTTATTTGACAGCTTTATTGCAAAGAAAAGTATAAAGGTGGACGGGGAAGGTACTTAGCGCTAGCTCACTGCAATCATTTTGAGATGCCAGACACTCATTCAGGTAAACGGGATGGAAAATGACAACAAGAATTTCACTGACATCGGTTGGCAGCCATATCTTGCATTATCTCCAAGCAGGCGCAGTGAGGAGCATGTGGTTCTCATCCTGGAAGGCAAGTAGGATCAACAGCACCCACACGTCTCTTAATATCCATCATACCCCTCTACCAGGTCACGGGTTGGCCACCTCTCTGCTTCCGCAACTTTGAGTTGGGCATGGAAAATAGCACTCTCGCGGTGGTTTAGCATACGCAACACGTCCCAACCAACACAGCTTCTGTTTCTGGACACATTCTTCAATGAACGTTGTAGGACCGAAAACTTGTTTTCCAATTTGCCTCGTTACGGATTCTCCGACACCAACCCGCACGAGCTATGTTTCTGAGACAACGGTTGTCGACTACCTGAAGACGTCTCAGTTCCGCTGCTCGAACAGACCAATTCTCGCAGCTATACATCAAAACAGCCCTCTTTGTAGCTTGAGATTCAGGGATATACCACTTTGACGCCATAGGTGTCGCAAATAAACTAACGCAAGCTGGGTTGGTCCCGTAATGTTGTCATGCTCATTTAGTATATGCTTGCATTTCTGCACCAAATAATCATTACAGTACTATCTTAAATTCTGGTGGAAAGGAGGAGAAAAGTAACATTCAACCGCACCCAACTGGGATGGGTTTATGGTGGTAAACTAGTTGTGGGGCGTAGTGGGCAAATCAGATGAGGCGCAATTTGTGGATGGTCTGTGGCATGTGCTACTGGTTTCGGGTAGAAATAGCATTGTAATTTGCACATGCTGCACAGACATCCAACGACACCTCTGACAGCTACTTATTCAACAAGCAGCTGATGTCTACAGAAGTACTTTTTAATATGCAGGTTAGCCGAAGCGTTTCGTTATGAAAAATTTGGGAAATTTTGACGGATGCAGTTACCGTCATTTGATGGACTAACAGAGGGCGCTGCACCCTGCCAATAAATTTCGGGCCAGCTTACATAAGACAGAGGGCTCGGGCCGTGAAACCCAAATAATTAACTGGCATAAACCTTGGGGCGCCTACGTTCAAATTTCATGGATTATAATGAGGTTAATGTCGTTAGTAGTGCCATCCAGTATGTCCGCCGTGTCTACGGTTTTTGGCACGGTGTTATAGTCAATCATAATGTTCAAGGGCGCCGCTTACACTATGGGGTCTTCGAAGCTGAATTTTCGACAGTGGGGCATTTCGTTGAGGCGGTGCCTAGGATTCACAGCTTAGATTGTGTTAGATAGGCATTCTGGGCAAGCAGGTGCCATAAATTCGTGTTGAATCAGTTGCCTGGAGGATTAGTTACCAAGCTGTTATTTTTCATTAGACTGCATCAAAAAGATGACTACCCACAACCGGTAATTAGAGGACCCTGTCGCGAACCGTAACAGGGTGTATTGAGAAGGCAAATTCCCTATCGCATGTTCTTCCCTTTCGGTATAAGTGTCGACAAAGATGTGCACCCAAATCATTAACAAACACTCAGCGTGCATGAGCCAGTGAACCGATTCAAGTAAATATTAACTAGATGCAAATACGGATGCAGCACCTTAGTACGGTGCTTGCAACCGTGTACAACCCAAACGGGGCTAGCTACTTTGCTGTTATTCAACTCTATTACATCACAAATGATAGGCCACCAAGTGGGATATTATCCGACCTATTCGGATTCCCGTTAAAGATCGATGAGCTCCGGTATTCGCTGCACCACCTGCAGAGCCTGTTTGTTGAAATGGTGCATCCTTTCAAAGGATATTTTAGGCGTACTGACAGTCAAATTAGCTTCATTAAACGTCTTCGATGGTTAGAAAGTTAGTGCCAGAACTATTCATGCTAAACCGTTTTGTCGAATAACTCTACTTAGTCCCCTACCCCTTCTATCTTTTAAAAGGTGCTACAGTGAGTGGCAAGAAACGCCTGAAGTCTGACAGACTCGTCTTCGTGACTGTCGCTACAATTTTCAAAAGCTTTTGGATAATCGGTCACCGTGCTTCTCAGCTCTTTTGATGGACAGTATTCCGCAGAGGAATCTGTGTGATAAAGATAGCGTGGCTGGTTTGAGTTATTTCCGTTTCCTTAACTGTTCTAGCCCACAAACTGGGGGGACATCTCAGTGCAACCAAACTGTTTAGCAACTTCATTGTTAACATCCAGTTTGCCTGACGGTGTAGCGAGACGGGCGAGTAAAAAACAGACCACTGCTGACGCCCTCTTTCTCTTCCACATAATTTCCCCCTTCCCTCCATACGTTTAATAACTCTCTCCTTGTCAAACCATCCGTCATTGCTGGCAACCTCGTTTGTCTCGCATCGAGTTTGGCCGTAACATCTGTGCGTCAGCCGACGCTGACCGTTCATCTTCAAGCCCCGTCCATCTGCTTGTTTTCAATGTTCGCACTCTGAAGCAAGTAGAACAACAAGCTGCTCTTGCTTTCAGAGTGAACCCGCTTGAACTTGACGTTTGTTGTGTATCAGAAACAAGAATTCAAGATTCAAGTACACTGGATGAGGTAACTGCCTCATGATTCTCCACTCGCTTCCGGCTGTGCACCTTTGGCGATGCAGAGGCTGTCGCGGCGGAAGTACATGGATCAGTATCGCCCAGTGTCACTGGAAGGAAGAATTCTTGTTTGATAGGATATTCGTTAATAGTCGTTTCTGTGCGGTTATGGCAAAGTCTATGAAGGAATGTCACAAGCTGAAAGTTGATTACTGTCTGCTTATGCCCAAGCCGACTAGAGATCTCAAATCACCAAAGACAAGTTTTATGGTGCCCATTGAGTCGAGCTTGAAGCTGGAATACCTCGGTAGTTTGTGGAGATATGAATGCACAAGTGGACGGGCTTGACGTATCTGAGACTTGATTAAGTCGCCGTGAATTGGATTCGATACGTACTGATAACGGCGAATGATTGCTTCAGGTATGGGCTGACCGCAGGCTGTTAGTATGCGGTACTAACTCCTGAAATAACTGAAGTCGTGTGGCCACATGGCGTCCTCCAAAAGCGCGTCAGTCACGAAACCGAACCGACCAAATCGCCATGGGTTACCGATGGTGCGGATTAATACCTGAGAGCCGCTCGTTTTTTTAAACATACTTGTGGATTCCGACGAAGCATTTGTTCAGAGTCGCTTCTCTTTTCGTTTCCCGGGGTTCGCGCACATCGTGTAGCAACTGAGGCTACACGAAGTTAAACGAATTTATCAGCATGGTCTTATGAAGTCTCTTCCAACTATTTCGCTGTCGGATATGAATTCGTGCTGGGACGAGACTGCTAAATATCTACACAGTGCCGGGGTTTTGCCTCTGGCACGGCGCTACCAGGCCCACTCAAGCACTGGATATCAGTGCTTAATCCTGGAGAAATATCCTAACGGATCTCCAGCACTCCTTGACACAACAAATTATCGGACATCAAATGAAAGTGAGCTTGGCAAGCAGTGAATACCCCGGAAGTCTGTATTCTCAGAATTCCGGGCGTGTGGGAGTATACCGAGAGCTCTCCAACACAAGCTTCCGAACACAAAGTGGTGTCCGTCAAGGGTGTTCGTGAAGGGAGGAACGCTGTAAGGGCTTCAAAATTCTGTTAGCTACTGACGAAAATTCTGTCGATCTGTAATATGTAGACGACATCGTTCTCGTTTTCGAAGAAGTTAAAGGTATTTTTGAATGAACTTACAAATGTCATTCCACTTATCGGTATGCCCCTTGCACCCACGAATCCATGCTTCTGGATATGTAGTCAATAAACACAACGTATAATCCAAGGAGAGTTTCTCGATGCTATGGAGAATTTTATTTATCTTGGACGTTATATTAGTTTCGATGTTTAGTGTGACAGATTAAGTCACTGCACGAATCTGCAAGGCTCGAGTCGCGTTCGCTAATTTGAGACACCTATGGCGTCAAAGTCATATATTCTTGAACCACAAGGACAATACGGCAGGCTACAATACGAGCTGTTTTGCTGTGTGGTTGTGAGACTTGGCCTATTCAAGCAGCGGAACTGAGACGTCCTCAGGTGTTCGACGACCGTTGTCTCGGAACCCTAGTTTGAGTGGGTTGACGTCGGCAAATGTGTAACGAGGCAATCAGAAAGCGAATGTCTGGCTGTGCAACGGGGACCTGCAC